CACAGTTCCATTACACAGTGACCAGCTCATGGTCCAGTTTGAGTCCCCAGGCTCATGTATATGTAGCTCATGTTATTTCTACACACATAAATGGAAAATTTCATTCTAGAAATCCCAATCACAGTCCTGTCTCTAGAAGGAAAAGCATCTTTACAGACAAATAGATGATGAATTATATGACTCAATCTTCCAGATGAGCAAATTAAAACATTTCAGAAACTTATCTTTTATAGTAAATCCTATGTTTCTACTTCAACAAATAAAGTAGATGATACAGTAGATGAACTGTTTTAACAGCCTAGAAAAATACCTAATCTTAGAAACATCAGCATTTAGAGATTTATAATGAACTATTWAGTGTTTTCCCTGTGTGTATATTTAAAAAACATTATTCATTCCTCTTTACTATTAACATGGCAATTCTGTTTCCGTAAGTGATGGTGCATAAATAAGTCAGTTGGCATTATAATATGAACAGTCTCTGAAAAAAAAAAAAAATCTGTGACTATTTTTTAAGCCTTTATACAGGAAATAAATGCAATAGAGGAGGAAAGCAAAAGCTGGAAAAATATTTTTAGGGATAAGACACATCTTGTCAAGTATTACTTCAAATAAGTTTTTTTTAGTGTATTGATTTATCCAACCTGTCAAACTTGCACAGACTTCTCAGTTAAAAAAAAAAAAAAAGTCGATTAATACAAATTTCTTAAGTTGCATTTCCTAACAAAGGTCCTAGGCCCTAATCCTGGCCCTAAACACAACTTGAACAGAATGAGTAAAGTACCAAATAATCTTCCAATAGCTACATTTTTTTTTCAGAGATAGAAAAAAGCTTCATTTATTTTCCTTTACTCAATCCCCAAGCTAACTGAACAGCTAGTTGGCAAAACTGCAAGCTGACTCGTCCTGCAAAGTCTCGTCCTACAGTGAAGGAGTAACATTAAAAAGACTGTAATATTAGACATGCAGCAACGCCTGTGTCAATATGGATCAAAGTTGGCAAACACTGATCACTAAAAATAAAACTGTGACGTTATTAAAGTGACTCAAAATGATTTATTGCTGTGGATATCTACAGAAGAGGGCCTGGATGTTAGATTTTCAGTTGTAAGTTTTTGGTTTTATATTAACTCAGCAGTAAGAAACTTGTCTCTTCAGAATGATCTCATTTCTGCTCAGCGCTGTAAAAAGAACGGTATCAGTTCAGTCCAGGAGACTTTCCAGTGTCTTGAGACGAGCTGGAAGCCTGGTCTAAGTGCCGTTGCTGTGAGCATCTTCTGTGTCACTTCCAATTTGATTCCTTTGATAGCTGCCTGTCAGAATCTGGCTGCCAGTTCCTCTGCTAGCTCAAGTACTAAATGTGGATCCCTAAGCATCTTTAGATAGTATATTGATTTCTGTTCCAAGCAGTACTTGTTTTTATTTTATTTCCTTATGAACTCATAGCATTAGAACGGCCCGAGGGCCGTAATAATACAGATTTCCCTGCCGTAATAATACAGATTTCCCTGCAGTTCCCTTTGGGCTTTCCGGATCCCTGCGCCGCGCTGCTTGCCAGGCTGCACTCACACACTCTGCTCTTTTGATCTCCATTTACACCTCATTCCTGTCACCCCCCAAGCACATTCTGGATCCCTCTACTACTGCTATTGATCTGCATTTAGTAAATAGTGTCCTACTCATCAGAAACATTAGTCATACAGCAGACAAACCACTGTAAGAGATGACTACAGGCCTGCCTCCATCACAGCAGGCAGCAAAACTCACCCCATCGAAGCTGCTAGTCYAGATTTGTCCCCTCTACCATGCAAGGGCCATAGTCATGTTAAAGCCATCCTTGAAATCGACACTCTAGGTTATAAACACACTTAGGTTTTACTAAACGTAAGCAATCTGAATAAAAGACTGAAAAGCAATCCAGGTTACTAACACAGTCCAAGCAATATATATTGGCATGCAGCTTATCTGCTGTATATCTATACTCCAGCAAACAGAACTAACCTGGTGTTACTTAAAATGGAAACACAAGGCACAAAGAACTGCACTGACCACAGCTCCAACCTGATCTCTGATGAGAAATAAGCTCTATGGGAAACCATGCACTGCGTGAAGCGACTCTGTTCACAGATGTAATGCTGACATAGGTAACTTCAGCTTGGTAACGTTCCTATTGGAACACATACAATGCTTGTTGCTTTTTTTCTGTTCCAAAAACGTGTACCTAGTGCCAACAGACTGCTTCCAAAATCACTTCATATCCACCACCCTATCCCCCATCTCCCCACCTGAAGCTAYATTCACAATCTTGCCATAGTTTTAATGCTACAGCACCACAAATGCAAAGGGAATCTCCCGCTTGGGATGTCTGCACAAGTTGCCGGCTGGTACCAAGTGTCACTGTCCCTCTGTGCTCCACGTCTCATTGCACTTTCAGCACCTTCCCTGCTTAGATTCCTTGTTCTCTCTTTCCCCGTTAATATTCCCACAGAGCTCCTGATTCTTTACAGGCCAAAAGGAACCAGAAGAATTCCCCTGCGTTCATAAAACACTGCTCTCCCCAACAGCACCATTGCCCCAGTGCTCTGTTACTCCAGTCCCATAGGCGATGGGCAGCAGAGCAGCTCCTGCCTTTGCCAGTGCCACGGGCCAGCTGCTGGCACAGGGACAGCCACGGTGCCTCCCTCGGAGGAGCTCCACCTTGCTCTGCTGCTTCCTTACTCATATTTATTCCAACAAAAAAAAAAGAGATAAAACCAGAATTGTATATAAGCTAGGTGAGCTGTTCTGCTCCTTGACTCTGGATGCCAGGCCTGAACCACAGCACCCAGCTCTGCCTCTCCAAACTGKGCAGGGAGCCCTGCAGGGCTTCCAGCTGGTGCCGTAACATGTAACATCTGACTTGCCAACCAGGTGGGCACTGACATACTCTTCCTGTGCACCACTCACCCAGTTAATGCTGTGAGCTCCTCTGCGCTCAAGCTCGTGCTCACCTGGGTAGCTGCTCCCCAGCAGCTCCACGTCCCCCGTTACCACCTCCAAAGCTGATGGCCTTGCAGCTTTCTGCCTCCTGACAAGCAACGTGGTCTCCTATAGTGACCCACGCAGCAGTTACTACCACTAACCTCCACTTAACCACAGCCCCAAATCCCTCCTACCCCTATCTAGCCCCACTACAGACCACAAACAACATCTACGGTGTAATAAAAATCACATGGGAGCAAAGGGCACAGAAAGTTGCAGGAATTGGAAGAAAGAACGAAGGCGTTGGCACAAACAGCAGCAGAACAGCCAGCGGCTCCGCTTCGAGCAGAATCTGAATCTGCTTTGTTCTGTGTGATTTACTAAATTTGAGTTACGGATCACTTAAAAAAAAAAAAAAAAAAGGCTCCTCCTAAATATTTTGAATAAGGACTAGGTTATTTGTTTCTCACCAACAGTTACAGTTTCCCTTCACACCCATTTGCAACAACACACTTCAGTTAGATAATTTCTGGCCGGGTTCAGTGCAGAGAGACTCCTGGGGCTTCCTGGGGCTGGTCCCAAGTTATTGTTGTTTGTGATGAAGTAGGTCTCTAATCTAGAGTGATGCTGGTCACTTCTGATNAAAAAAAAAAAAAAAAAAAAAAAAAAAAAAAAGTTTTCCGAGGACAGAAAGCTTTACAGTTAGGCTGAAATTGCTGGGCCTCTCTTAAGGCGCAGAGCGGTGCAAAAGGGCATCACCTTTCCCACCAAGGGATGTTCTTCTATTAGGACACACATATCTTGCTGCAGACTGTACCTTTGTGGTTATGCATATAAAAACCTATGGTTTATATGTATATCTAAAAACATTTAAGCCCGTGAAACGCGMACGCACGGCCGTGCAGAGATGTCCCACAGCCGGGAGCCAACAGAGATCAGCCCTGGCAGCTGGGCAGCACCGAGCTCAGCCTCAACAACAGAGACAGCACCTGGCCATGGTGGACACCATTAATGCTGGGAACGATTCCTTCTCCTCACTAAAAAACCACTGCTGGTCCCGATCACCTCAACACCGGACAGGTGCTCGTGTGGGCACAAAGCACATGGTGACTTCTCAACTCCTGACAGGCTGTTCCCTCACAGCTTCTTCTGCTGGAAAACGCTTTCAACTCTTAAAAACAATGCAAGAAAACAATGTAACAACGCAAACCTTGAGGGATTTTCAGAGCAGCCCGGCCCGCGCTGCCAGCACCGGGCTGCAGAAACCCTCACTGGGAACACCCTGCTGCCACTACCGGGCCGGGCTGAACACGGCGGGGACGAGAGCAGGAGCCCGGGCTGAGCGCCCAGGAAGGGCCGGGGGCCGCATGGCAGCGGGTACCCGCGCAGCCTCATGTCCGGGGTACCCGCATGTCCGGGGCGGCGCTGAGGGCGGCGCGCCCGGGCCCGTCAGCCGTTCCCGCCCGCCCCCGGCCTGCAGGGCGGCGCGGGCAGAGGCGGTGGCGCCGGCCGCGGCGCCGCGCGGCGGAGCGGAGCGGAGCGCGGCGGGACCGGGGCCGCTCGGGCACGGTGAGCGSTGCGGGCGCGGCGGGGCGAGGCCGCTGGGCGCCGGGGGCGGCTCGGAGGCGCCTGCGGGGGCCGCCCGCGCTGAAGGGCCGCGGGGCCGCCCGGGCGCCGCCCCCGAGCCGCGTCTGGGAAGGTTCCCGCGAGCGGCGCCGGCCTCCCAAGGCCTGTGAGATCCCGGGCTCTGGGCAGCCCGGCCGGGCGTAGAGCTGTGCCCAGATAGAGCCGCGCCTAAGCGCACGGCGGCGCCGGGCCTCGCTCGGCGCCGCTCTGCGCGCCCAGGTGCCGGTAACGAGCCCGCAGCCCGGCCCACAAGTCCCGCTTGTRGGGCGCGCACAGCCGGGACCAGGCGTTACTTAACCGAGCCCRCAGGCTCTTAACGTGGAAGCCTTCAACTAACCAGGGACGGGACTTTATTGCGGGTTTTTCCTCCTTTCCCCGAAGGGCGAAGCCCCATCAGTAGTTTTACCTTTATGTATTCTCTGCTTTCCCCTTCAGCTTTCCGGAGCTGAAATACTGCAACAGGAGTCTTACGTGCTAATAAGATTTCTGTCATTGCTGCCGTCTCTTGATACTTGCACCTAAAGTGTCCTGCTGAAGGACTTCAGGACATCCAGGTGAACTGCACTGGATTTGCTTTTGTAGCTTCTTCCTGTAGCTCTGGTTGCTAATTTAGCAGTAATTCTTCAGAAATATCCCCCAGGTATTAACTGTTATCAACTTGGCCCCATCTAAGTAGGAAAAAAGCTAGCTAGATGGATTGCTAGCTAGAAGCTATCAATCTGGCCTTAAGTAGAATTTGTTTCCAGGGACATCCTGCAATTTGAACTGGCTTCCTGTTTGTCCTTGCTTTATAGCTTCTGATTCCTTAATAAAACTAGGGAGAAGTTCTGAGTGGAAGTGATGTTCAGCCTAAATAAACGACTTGGGGAGCTGGCGCTTCAAGTGCCTGATTGCAGCAGGAACTGAGCTGGCTACGTGCAATTACCCACAGTGACTCCGACTAATTGTGCTAATGAGTCTAGGAAGAGTCATTAGGAAATTAGCAGGTCTTGCTGATCCGGTRCAGATGTGTGCTTTGATGGGAAGTRGGGTGGCAATGGAATTGGCAGTAGAGATGCCACCAAGTATAAATGGATGGAGCYGTATATCCAGTGGAATGGCACTCTCAACACCCAGTGAGGTGGTGAGCAGAGCCAGGGCTGCTCCTGGAATGCTCATGAGCTTTGCTAATGTTGATAAGCTTGAGAACATGGTTAGGAATAAGGATAAACCAGTCAGGATGGYCGTGAGTTTAAGGAGCTCAACAGAATACACTATGTCTGTAGTCTAGAAATGGACTCTGAAGGCAGCTTGGTTTTGATCTGAGTCAATAGCTGCTGGAAGGAGGTGTGGGTTTGAGGTACCTGTCTAGAAAAGGTAACAAAGGAACGAAAGGCCTTTTGGTAGTGCTTAAAGGTATAGCAGAAACATGCAGCTGCACCTGCCCTTCCAGGTGCAGAATTGGAGCTCTGGTTCTGCCTTAAAAAATAAATAAAATGCAAACAAAGCTGCATCTGAAGGTGACACTGCTCCCATCCCAGGTACTATCATGCACCATTAACTAGGTGCTTTAACTACTGTAAAGATGTACAGAGGCTTAATATTTATCTTTATGTAGGGTGCTGGCATCAGCCTCCACAAAAGGGCAAGGGAACCTGTCTGTGCAGAGGCTGCCTTCTGTGCTTCACCATCGTATGATAGAGATGCGGGAGCTGAGTTTGAGACATTGACCTTGAATTTTATCCGTGTTTTGTTCTCCTAGAAGGTGAATGTCTATGTGCACATCTTCCCGAGTACAGATATGCTGTTTCTCTTGCCTAACTCTGGGCATTAAGTATAGTGTGGTACAGAGATGTGAGGAGCTCTTTGGATGGGGCTTCTTCATGCAAGCTGATTATTCTGGTGGTATTAATGAAATTGCTTTTTCTTTTTAATCTAGTGAAATAGAATTACATGAATAGTACATTCAGAGGGAGTTGTATTTAGATCTGAATAGCTGTATACACTGAAAATTTGGACTGTTGGTTAAGGGTAAAACACTCTTGCACATCTGGAGGTCCCAGTTCTTCACCTTGACATATCAAAGAAAGATCACTTCAGACATGAGAGCCCAGCCCAGTTGGAAATAACTTCCAAGTGTAAACAGAGGAGGATTCTCGTATAACATCCTGCTCAAAGACAAGTCCTGCAACTTCTGTGTTTATATCTACTACCGTTAATATATCAGTCTGCTCAAAAGAGCTTTTCTTGTTAGTTGATAATATTAAATATAAATGATGCCTTAGACCATAATAAGTGACTTTAAACAATATTATTTAGCTTTGAGCTGTCACAGTTGAGCTGTCATCATGTTCTTAAATAAGCCAGAAGAGGAGCTTTAGTTGTTCCTCAAATAGAAACTTACTGTCTTACAAACTTACGCAGCTAGGTCTGTATTTTCCAGGATGACCTGGGTCCATGCCAAGTTTCCCCTCCCCTTTTAAAAGGAGGAGGGGAAAAATATGCAGCATTGCAGATCCGGATAGATGTGGGCTCTCTGCTCTCTGGCTGTAGCATCTAGTCTTGCTTTCAGTCTAGTTTCTTGGGGCTGCCTATGAAGGCCTGTACCTGCTCGCTGATTATTCTGCGGGCGCTGCCTGGTCTAACAACAGTGTGCCAAAAGATGCCGACTGTGCAGAGGGTGGTGATGTTGGAGAGTTCCTGCAGCGGGATCAGACACCTCCTGAAGCACCGCGGGGCACATGTGCCCTRGGAGAAGCAGCTACACGAATTCCCCCTGCCTGATGCTGACTTTCTCTGAGCGCTATAGAAGGTGACCAGGACACAATCCTTGGCCACCACAGGCAGATGCTTCTTCTTCTGATGATTTGGGTGGTGTGTGGATTTTTTTTTTTTAATCAAAAGCTTTTGAAATTTGGAAGACCTGCATTACCCCTTAAATAAAGAGTTATGAATTTGGAAGGAGACAAAGTGTATGGGGAACGTCTCTTCCCTGCTGGACTCCACAGGACACTGGGGTGGTCTCTTCATTCCTCCTTCCTCTTCCATTTTRCTGCCTGTTCCTTTAGTTCCAACTTCAGCTTCTGTTTAAACCTTCTGCCCGCTGGGAAGGGCAGAAGCTTAAAATGATGATACTCTTCACATGTGTGGGTTTTGCTTCTTCAGAAAGTTTTACATTGAGTTCCACCTGCCTCTTGCAAAAAAAAAAAAATAATGTACAGAATGTTGGTGTTTATCAGCCCAGGGAAAAAAAATAATGTAAGGTAGTCAGCTTTTCTAAACAAACTAGTGTCATGTAGTGTCATAGACAGATTTGTTGTAATCTTTTAGCATTACTTTTAGTAATACTTTAGTATTACCTTTTTTTTTTCCCCCAATCTGATTAAAATTCTTCCACTGTTGCAAGGGCTTAAGAAAGTATTTCTATTAAATCAACTTAAAACTCTACCCTAGGGATGCACTATTGATTAACTACTTTGCTTGCCATGATTGGCAGGAAGTTTTCCTGTGGAAATCTAGGGATGTCCTTGGTGTGAGCAGTGCCCTGGCTGAAATGTGCTGGGTCCTGTACCAGAGTAAAACTTGGCTTGGCCTGATTTGTAGCTCTATTTAGGACTCTTTCTGCTGTGTATCTTGGACTGCATCAGCTAATGTATCTTACGCTGTCACCTCCTAGTAAGAACTGCCATCTCTTGGCAGGTTGAGTGTGCACTGTCTTGATCCAAGTCAAGGGTGTAAAATTTAAGCGTAGAACTTGCATATTCAGGGACTGGGTGAATAACTAAGCTTAAAACAAAATGATCAAGAAATGCAGGGACATCACAAGCTTGATACCGTGAATGAAAGTGGCCTATGTGCCCTTAGGAAGGACATCAACCCTGAATGTTAACATTTCTGAGTATGGTAAGACTCTAACTTCACCATGTGTTTCTCTTCCACTGCAGGAGTTGGAAGATGAAGCAGAAGTGATAAAGTGAAGAGTCTTGCGTAAGAGGTGCCAGAGTCTGAGGTAGGGACCATGTCTATCACTGACCACAGCCCCACCACTGGCGTGGTGACCGTCATCGTCATCCTCATTGCTATTGCGGCTCTTGGTGCCTTGATCCTGGGCTGTTGGTGTTACCTGCGTCTGCAGCGGATCAGCCAGTCTGAGGATGAGGAAAGCATCGTGGGAGAAGGAGAAACCAAAGAGCCCTTCCTTCTGGTGCAGTACTCCGCTAAAGGACCTTGTGTGGAGAGAAAAGCTAAGCTAACTCCAAACAGCACAGAAGTGCATAGCTAACTTGGAGCAACCCCTGTATATAGACTAAGCTTAGGATGCGTGTAACCAGCAGCAGAATCTCCTGTACTGTGAAGAAATTGGTCATATGCGCACTGCTCATCAGAAGACACCATGATGAGGCTTAAATAAACTTTGTTTGCAACTGCATGCACTGGAAGCTGCACTTTCCATCAGCTGTATTTCCTGTGGCGTCCAGGATAGGAGCTGACATACGTGGCATGAAGTCCATTGCGGGCAATGGACGGGGATACCTTGGTGTGAAGACTAACAGCATTTTTCTTACTTGAATGTTTAGCTGAACTACTACTACTGCAATGTGAACTTCTTTACAACTGTGAACTGTAAATAGCCTGCCAGGACCTTTTGCTTTGTATGCCTCAGCGTATGGGACTAGCATGATATGACTGTACTCAGCACCGAGGGGGACTCCACTCAGCAGAACCAACACTGCACTTAAAGCTTGGGTCTGCTCTTTTCACAATACTTTCAAAGAAAGGCAGGTATAACCTGTCTGTGGCATCCTGAAGGAAGCACGAGGCCTCCAAGAAAGAATGGTTTTGCTTTAGTTGCAGCTAAGTAGGTTGGGCTTTTTGGTTGCTTGAACTGAGTTCTCCAATCATGTAGCTACTGCAAGGAAACTGCCGTGTTCAGCTTCCAACCTAGGAACTAATGATGGACACCTAACCCTCAGGGACAGTCCAGAAGGTTCCAGGAGCTGGACGTGGCAGTAGAGCAGGCTTTTCCCCATCTCAATGTCTGCATGGTAAAACTGCAGAAGTGGTTACTTAGTAAAAGTGGCATAAAAGCAGCTACTATGAAGTTCTAAAGTCCTCTTTGTGTATTTAGCAGTTAGGGTATGTGTAAACAAGGAGTCTATTTTAGAAAACAATACACTTTAGATGAAAGATGAACTTTMAACTATATAGTAGTTAATACATCTTGTAGATAACTCTCTTGGTTTAGCTGTGTTACTGCAAGATACAAGTCCTTCCTGAGAGAACTTGTGTTTTTAAGCTAGCACCAGGGAAGTACTTTCAAATAAGGACACCTGATTTCCTGCTTTGAGCTGAGACTGAACTACGGAAACTGTAGAAAGACAGATTTAGTAAGTTCTAGACCCCAATTAAAAAGCTCAAAAGCTGYGTGGATGTGATCCTGAGCAACGTGCTCTAGGCAAGCCTGCTTGTGCAGGGGTCTTCGACTAGATGATCTCCTTCCAACCTTAACCTTTCTGTGACAGTGCTTGGGGGGTTGGAAGCAAGGACTGCCCCTGAAAGACCAAAGGCAGATTCTATGATCCAGACCGCTTGGGAAAGGCAGCTCTGCTCTGAGTGTGGCCTAGCCTTGCCCTGGCCACCAAATCGCTTGCTGTGTTGATGAACCTAGCTTCTTGGTGCCTGATGTAAAGCTTCAAGCACTTCGCTACTTAGCAAGCAGCTCTACCACAGGCTCTCTTTCTTCTGAGATAARTTGAAGTCCTGCTCAAGCCCAGCAGATTAGATCCTGTTCCCTCTATGGGCAGAGTAACTAAGCAACCTCCTAGAGAGCTCCCTGAAACGCGGTGAGCAGGAGTCGTGGCAGCAGCCTCAGCCCTTTTCTCTGAAATAAAATGCTCACTTGCATTCTTAGGGCTGTATTTTTTTAAAGGTGAGACTAATTTGAAGCAAAATTAATACTGGCACTAAGCGAAAAGCTCCCAGAGTTGCCTCCTGTCTGCGATACAGCTGGCAGCTGGCTGTCTTTGCTCTGTTGCATAAGCACTTCCATGAGATGCAATTCTCATGTGACCTGCCTGTATGGCTGGGCTGCATCCACTTAGGCTGCTGTACACTCCACCTCCTAAATGCAGGGAGAAATGGAATAATGCAGTTAGATATTTACTTCAGTTTTGTTTCAGTAGAGAACAGTTCACACATGGCTCTTCAAGACTTCAAGACAGATATAAAGGGGGTACAAAAGTGATACAAAGTACACAAATTCTGCAACAGAGATGTAGCAAGATGATTTTGTCCATTCAAGTTTACTGATTATATAGATAAAATATCTCCATTTTAATTCTGCAGACAAAAAAAAAAAAAATGCAGGGTAGTGAGGGCAAATTTTTTTTTTAAGTTACCAGAAAAATATAAATCAAAAGTCTAAACGCTTCCTCCAGCAGCTGTTGGAGGAAGCCCATGTTAAAGGACGGGTCCTTAATCAGARGTGCTTCCTGGTGCTGCCCTTTCTTTAAACAAGGAAAAAAAAATCATCTTTAGGTTAAATGGACAGGTATTTGCAAGTTAGTGCAATAGTAAAGTGCAGAAAGTGTTTTCCATATTCCTTCTCTATTTTGTGGGGGTATCTAGTAAGTTGTTCAAGTTATATAAAAATATTTCCTTTTGATTTTTTTTCTAAGTCATTTGAGAGAAAAGTCTTTATTTACAATGAATTTCAATAAAATTTGCATAAATACCTTCCCAACATTGTGTAATTTGGCTTTGTAAGCAATCATCCTGTCCTGCTTTCATTACTGTGCTCTGTCTCTCTGGGATCAATATTTTCAGTTCTTTTTTCCCGTAACGGGGTGGCAGCTGTTGGAACTGATACATCATTGTCATCAGAAAGTGGCTGCTCTGACTGAACAGGGTTTATATTTTCATCTTTGAGCTGTAGTTTTCCTTCTTTTGATGCTATGAGGATTCTCAGCAAAGTATTCTCCTTGAGGAGGTTTTCAGATGCATCAGCCAATTCTTGAAGCTTTTCAGCCATCGCCAATAATTCTTGATTCTTCTGCTCGTACGTCGATTGTAGCTGCTGACTGTGGAGCTGCAGGGTCTTGTGCTGCTTTTCCARGGTGTGTTTTTGTTGCTGCAGTCGCTGTTCCTCTCTTCTGGCTTTGGAAAGTTGTTCTTCAAGCCTGTCATGGGCCTGGTGTAGAGCACTGATTTCTGATCTTAACTTCTGAATTTCCCTCTCCAAGTGGGAGATGTGGCCTTGCTGCAACGCTGCCTCTTTACGCAGGCAGTCTCTGGTACAGAGCTCTGATGAAGAGGGACTTGAGTGATGTAAAATAAACCTCAGAAGATTGGGAAGGGTAACTGGAAAGTCTTCAGGGAACTTCACACTCTGCTCCTTCCTAGAAAGGCATATCAGATTAATGCTAATAAATAATTATTAATAATAATTATAATAAATTATACATCATATATAATATATTATATACTATGTTATACATTATAATACAGCATATTATAAATAATAAAATAAATTAAAATAATAATATTAATAATAAAGATTAAGATATGGTGCAGACTACTGTCTCCTACTGAACCTTTCCAGTTGTATTCCAGTATGCTTAGGTGTCGTAAGCATCTCTGCTTTGTGATTTTCCTACTAAGATTTAAGCATTCCTCACCCTACACATGTTAAGAAAAGTCCAGCTCTGTAAAACTGGGAAACAACTTGTTTTGAAGCTATACTGCAAGTTACCCCAGGATAAGTAGCTTTATGGGCTCCACTGTTAGAAAAGAAGTAGCTGAAGGTAAAAAAAAGRGGGTTGCTGTTAACAGCTGACTGACTTACAAGCAAGTCCCTCTTGCTGAGGAAAATAAACCAAACCAATCTTGCTACTTGCAAGGGGGACCTGCAGCATTGTCTTCATGCCCCTGAGCTCAGCAAAGAAACAAACCAGCCAAATGTATTTTTTTTTGGCTGGCTGACTCACTGTGTGGCTGTAAATCCTAATCCCAGCACATGAAGGTGACAGCCCTGGTGCTTCTGCAGCAGCACCTGCTTGCTCCCAGCTGATGTCAGCCCAAGGTTCTTCATTCAGAGTGTAAAATCCCTCCCTCCAGGCTACTGAGCACCTGGAGCCACCAACCACCCTCTAAGGTGTCCCGGGTAAAGCTCCCAGTCCTGCACCTCGTGTGTAGGTTTAGCAGAGACAGGGCAGGCCAACCCAAGGAGCAGACAGGAATGAGCTCCTGCCCCTCTTTCTGAGCCAGCCTGGCTCCTGCTGCTCAGTCCCTCGGCACCCAGCGTAACTGCAGTTGGCTGCCTACCGACTCCCCTGCACTAGAGCGAATACAAAACRGAGTTTGGTCACAAACTATAAACAGACTTAGACCAGGTGCACTGCTGAAAGCACCACAGTTCGTTTATGACTGTAATCWACGGTAGTTTCACCGCTGACATATTGATTCCTGTCAGGTATGCCAAGATTTATCATCTTGCAGACTACCGTGCAAAACTTACATGTATTTTCTCCTTCCATATGTTTAACTACATCATCTTTAGCCTTCGWTCATCAGAAGCATTCTGTCTCTTTGATTAGGGAGCTATGAAAACAGGTACCTGAAGAAAAGCTTAGTTGTTTTCCTTTGCTTGCCTAATTTGTAACCAGATGACTGGCGCAGTATGCATTCAGTATGACCATACTGGACATAAACTATTTATGACTAAGTTACACAAGTCAGGAAAAAAAAAAAAAAAAAAAAGAAAAACCACCATTATTCTAAAGCAACAAAAACAGATTTAAATGTAACATTTTAAGGCCTCAGAAGTGGGCCCCGCTGCTTCAACAGAATAAATGCCATTGAGAACACTGATGTCCCCAACATGTATGAAATTATGTAAAAATTGCTTACACAGTGCAGCTGGAACACAGCAATTTTTCTGAGCGTGAAATCCRATTAACATTTGCAATATTCATATTATATTTACTTGATTTACTGAGGACTATTTATTGTAATTCAAAAGAAGAAAAATATCCCATTTTATCAGTAATTTAAGGACCTGAGCCAGATGAAGTTGCTGTCTATCAAAATCCTGGGAGAGGAAGCACCATGATTTTTTTCCCCATATGGACTTCTCAGGATCGACCAGGTAATGAACATCACAGCCATAGGCAGTTTGGAACTGACACTCATTTCAACATCCAAGTTTAACAAATCACAGCGTGATTTTGGCTGAAGTAGTCTATATTAATAGGAAAATGACTCCTTACACAATGGTACTATTTAACTCTACCACTATCCATTCTTTACTGCCATAAAGCACAGGAACACTATTTAAAACAAAAAGCAAAACAAAGGAGTATGACATGGGAGGAACAGCCTAAGCAGGACAGGGACAAATTGCAAAAATGGTCTCATAAGCCTATGCCTTAGGAGCTCAAGTGGGGCATCTTTTATTCCAAAATTAAAATAAGCCTATACCAGTAAGAGACATTACACATACCATCAAAAACTAACCTTCTTGATTACTTAGATGCAGGAAAATATAAAGCAGCCTGGACAGGAAGAGCAAGTGGGAAAGCAGGACCAAAGCTAAGATACATTCATGAAACCGCTGAGCAGACTACAAAAACCTCGTCACTGAAACTAGAAGTCAGCTGCTTCAGAGACAGGTCTAGAGCTGCTTAACAGAACMGACTGAGCAGCTGAAGCAAATCCTTGCATTTTACTGCAAGGATCTATTATTACAGTATCTCTTGAGATCTCRTGCTCTCAGTTTAGCCACCTGGAAGATGCTGCATAGCTGTTTCTGCTCCAGAAACCACTCATTCATTTTTCTGAGCAATGCCAAAAATGCCAAAAATWATTATTTTAAATTCAACCAAAAGAAAATTAACTAAAGAATAAGGCTATTAATTTATTAATGCTGCTGCTCATAAATAAAGACCTACAATTGAATAATGACCTATCTGCACAGTACTACCTATTTTTTCTTAATGTTTAAAGTAACATACATGGGAATTAATTATTGCTTGGATTTTTTCTTTACTAGTGTATATAGCCAGATTATTTTTTGTAACTTTGTAAAATGAAAGTAAAAGACCCCACAGKGAAAAGCATTACATTACCTCTGATGAGGGAAAAATAAAATGGTTGGGAGGCGATCTGTCATAAATTCCCATGGAAGGTCATTTCGACTGGTATCAATTCTGTCAAGAAAAACAATACTGATAAAGAGAACATTTCTCGTATAACTCCATGAATGTTTTCCTATAAGCAACTAGTTTGTGGAACAAAACACTCCGCTGTTTCTTCCAAGGACAAGCACATTCTCTAAGGCAAAATATTTGCTAAAGCTCTACATACAAGAACACAAAGCMCAAAGGAAACAACTTTTCAATTACTTGTTTTATGTTTTGATGGTTGTTTTTCATCTTTAAGCTTTTCTTTGTACTTTTTATTAATATTTACCATCAATTAAGAGAATTTTATTTGTAATCACAGAGAATCACAGCAATTCTGGAAATGCCAAAAATATTTCTTAGGCACGCATACACATACACACACAAACACAAAAAATCCACGTGCCATTTTTCCAAATAACCCTATTCTATTCGATTACATTATTTGCTACACATTATCAAGGGCAGAAATAAAAATGCTGATCTGCTATTATCTATGTTTTACTGGTTCACTTTCTGAAAAGTACGAAACTACAACTATAAGTGCACTGAATGAAAATCTGTTTTAATCAAATTATAAAGCTACTGTAGAGAGTCTGAAAACTACCAAATATATGTAGAAGAATATATAATTCATTCAAAGAAAAACAAAACAGATTACATCCACATCAAGTACTGTGTGTGTGCAGATAAAAAAGCAAATGTTTATTTCCTAGGCTGTATTAATTAAATGATACTAGAGAGACAAAAATATATATTAACATACATAAAATGATTTATTTTTACCTTGCCACAGTGAAATTATCTGGAGGCAAAAGCCGAGCAAGCTGAATGAAAATGTGGTTAAGAGCAGCACAGAATCCACACCACTGTGCATAATAGAGCAGCAAAACACTCTGGAAGATAAAAACAGAGTGGAGTCTGATTGCTTACAGTATTAACCTGCACTAAAGAAGAACCATCCTCACAACTAATTCTGAACTCTTTAAAAGCAAAAGGAAAATATTCCATAATGTAAATAAACTTTATAATTTACCGATGCCCTGTCTCCTGAACCAGAACTCTAAAAACTCTTATAGAATTCTCCTTGCACAAATAAAAAGACAAAATGTGGAGTATTATTTAGCTCCCTTTTAATGAAAAAGGCACCACTAGAGTTTCTTAAACTTTTCATGATTGTTCTACAGCCCTGCATTCCTATTTGAGCACCTACATACTTGATATGGAAGCCAGATTTCCATGAGGAGCCCTGGAAGGCTGCTCTCCTGCTGCAGCTGGTCCCTGTGTTTGGGCCATTTCCACCTGCCCGAGGCCACCAAGTCCTCACAGCCAAGGACAGTGGTCCTGACTAGTACAGCTTTAAGGAATCGGGAAATTCACTCCCTTTGGGATCACATCATATAGAAAASAAAGTTACGGCACACAATCAGAAAACTTGAACTCGTGATTTTTTTTTCTTTAACCGTGTGGTTTCAAATGTACTTGAATTTTACAACCTTTGGGGCATTTTTCTGCATTATGCTTAATTTGCAGTCACCTTTTTAACTTTTTATAAAAAAGTTTACTTTTAAAAGAAAATATATACATTAAAAAAAAAAGGAAAAGAAAGCTGTGACATGTTTGTTTACTTTGAGCTTTGGCCCCAGAAACCAGAATCTTCTTCAATGCTAACCTCAAGCCTTGTATTTAAACCCCCTGAATGTATTTAAAATGCATTCCAGGCATAGGGAAGCGTGGTGGGAGCAAATGACACTTCATCACTTCTATATTTCTAACACATAGGAAAATGAAAATGACCAAAACCTTCAGCAGGGGAAACAGCTGACTTGTTGACTTGACTACTTTACTACCATCTTCATAGATTTACTAAAGATCATGTCATTTGAATTGCTTTTACAGACACTTTTTTTTTTATTATATATATTACGAGTTACGAACATCACTGTCAAAAAGGATGAAACCGATTGCCTCAAAGTGTAAAAATTAATTTGCAAGAAGACTTTCAGTGATGAGCCATGAGCTGTACCTTTTGATTCGAGAACACAGTATCATGGAAGGTGTTAGTAGTCACTTCAGTGATCACACGTTGTGCACGGAAAGGGACTGAAGAGTCATCAACAAGATGCCTTTTCAAGGGRCTGTAGAGAATGCTGAAATTCCTTATGAAGTTCTCTGAAATGAAATTGATACATTACAAATTTATTTAAGTTTCACCGATGTATATCAGCCATTTACATCTTGGTTTTCAGTAGAATTTGAGAAARCCAAAATTCAAACCTGGTTTCAAACCATAAGTTTCTGACAGTGCCCTATCAACTCCTGAGTAACTACCACTTCTATGAAAACAATACAAAATTYAACTGCCTATTGTAATCTTCACTTCCTTCCTACTTTTTACCTTGATTCTACTCCTACTCAATGTACTKTAATAGTATTTCCTGCACTTAATCTAACCAGATATCTGGCTGGTCTCAAGCAAGATCCTCACCCTGTCTGACTTTCTGCACTGCATTCAAGCATTTGCTCCTTACCTTGAAAGCTCCAGTAAATTCCACCTATTTGAATTTATTCGTGTAAGTAYTTTCCCTATTATTTTTCTTTTGCTTTAGACCTTCAAAGACTGTGCTATTTCCCCGCCAGCAAGACTGACCACTTTGTGTTTATCAGTGAGCACCTTCCTGTCCATGCCACTTTCAGGGCATTTGACAGTAACTGAAATAGGTCATAACTGAAATCAACCCCTCTCAAACTACCTTCACTAACTTCTTTGAGCCAGGACTACATCCTCTAAGTTGCTGCAAGACCACTTTGCAGTTTAGATTTGTGCAGTACTGTAAATTCAACTGGGACAAATGAAATAATACCCAAGATCCTGAATAGTTCCTTGTTCCAACAGAAACTACTTTGATGGTATTCTCAGATCCAAAACTAGGGCCAAGTAAAACTGGAACATTTGTACATACAGACCACATTACTGGGTTTACCTCTGGAAATGCACACAGCAGTGCATTCAGTCTTACGTTCAGTATTCAGTACTCAGGAAACTCTCACAGCAGACTACAACGCTACCTATAGTCTTGCTTTATAAGCAGTCATTTTATGAAGGCCATACATGTTCAATTCAAAAGCTTATTCTCAAACTTTTCACATTTCCCAATTCATAATTCATTTCCCAATTCATAATTTCCTTACTTTGAGCATTTCTATTTTGGATACCATACCCAAAGTAGATCCAGTAAGCGACTGATTCTGATCCAGGACATAGTGCACCTCTTCTTTCAGGTCAACAATGGCAGCAAATTCCTTACGATGAGTAGATCTTGATGCTCCTAATCTCTCTGCATATATCCAAAACAGATTTGAATCCAGTAGATAAAGATTCAAGGTTTTGTTGGTCCTGCAGCTCAGACCAGTAATGTTAGTGCCATTATCATGGAGGTCAGCAATAAAATAATTACTATCCTCAATGTGAGGAATAGAATTTGGGGTGTCAATCTTATCTTTCTTCCCATGGGAAGAAAATGGTACTTTAGGGGTCTGAAAGATGGTCTTTTCAGAACTAATAAAACTTAAAAAATGCCTATTTACTGTCCTGCAACATGCAGTGTAATAGCTAAACGGACTATAGAAACTTAAGAAATTGCTGCATTCTATGGTATTTGATATAACTTGAAAAAAGGTACGTTCCTGGAGGTAGAAAGAGTCCAAAGCTGCTTCTATCTCTAAAAAGTTGCAGYGTGGCACATTGACTTTATTTGGTTTGACACCAAGTGTCTGGTTAACACAAAGCTCACAGACATTGTGAGTTCTAGATATTGAATGCCACTGAGGAAGCACCACCGTGTTACAACAGGGGTACTTTGCTATTGAAAATGTTTCCGACAATTCTGTCTGTGCAGCTTGCACAGGAGAACCAAAAGCTGGTGCATCAGCATCTCCTGGGCGTTGAAGATCTCGTTCAGCTGCCTGGCTCTTATTACAGCTGTGGTACTGCAAGGCCACTTTGGTTATCTACAGAAGGTGGAGGGGGTGAAGGGGAAAAAAAAAAAAAAAGAAGCAAAAAAAAAAATTATTAATTGTACATTCACACAGAACCACAGAACAGTTGAGGTYGGAAGGGACCTCCAGAGATCATCCAGTCCAATCCCTCTGCTCCAGCAGGGACACCCAGAGCATGGGACACAGGGTGGCATCCAGGCGGGTTTGGAAGACCTCCAGAGAAGGAGACTCCACAGCCTCCCTGGGCAGCCTGTGCCAGGGCTCTGTTCCCCAAGGTGCTGTCTGGGTCYCGCTYGTTGCAGAGCGAGGCCAGGGCACCCAAGGAGATGGGCCAGCAGCTCTCCCCTCTGCCCCAGGACCACATCCCCACTCTGCCTGTCCAGACGCGCTYGGCAGCTTTGCTCCTGCCTAAGGGAAGTTACTTGTCGCAGATTCAGTAACAAAATATACCGACTTTTAGATGGAATTTCCACATCAAAGTTGCATAYTCTTAAAAATAATGATAATAACCACCATCATCAAGTCAGGCTCATAATRATAATAATCACCATCATCAAGTTAGGCTCTAAGTTAGTAACAAACTTACATTTCTAGATATATCAGCATGTAAGAATTAAATATTCAGAACAGCAACAAGAAAAGCCAAAGAAATACTTTCAGTGCACTACACCAATCTAAGTCCTCCTCTGCATCATTTATGGCACAGTTCTTTAATACTATGTTTTAAGGTTAAAACCTACTATATGAAGCATTAACCAAAATGCAGATTTCTGAATTTCACTTCAAATGAGAAAAAAAAAAAATAAAAACACTCCCATCTGAAAGGGGAATGGAGATTCTCCGTGGTGTGGTGGATCCTGACTGCAGTAACARCCACTAACAGTTTTGAAGCAGTGATATTAATCTCCTAGCCACAGAAATATGGCTGCAATCCTGCATGGATACTTAAGAGGATTTTTTGGAATATATTTTTAAAAAATCTAGCCTGCCATTCAATGCAGATTTTTGTAATGAGCACAATTAAGCTGCAGATCTCCAGTTCTACTGAGTTGAAAGTTAAAAATGATCATCCCACTTACTTCATCTAAAAGAGGATGAGTTTCTGCTAAGGGATTGTAAGGTAAAAATATGAGAAGTGCTGGTCCTTTCTTCAACTCATTGTTTAAAAGAAGGCTTTTTCCACCATGAGGTCTCAGCCATCGGATGAGCATCTCTCGGTTTTCTAGAGCCCATTTGCAGATGTTCTCAGACGTATAGTTCATGATATCCTTTGGATAAACCTTGAAAAGTGAAAAAGTAATTATTTGTTATCACTTACTTAAATATACCGTTTACTAACAAATGCAGCATTCACAATTGTTAATACAATACCTAAAACTCCTTTTAATTTAATGACACTATTCAGTGAGCTTCAGGCTTTCATTTATCCTCCCTGCTTGGGAAAGGGGGATAAAAGGGTATACTACTGGAAAAAAATAAAGGAAGTTTTAAAACATTCTTCATTTTAACACTTAAGAGCTTGGTGAACACCGCATGACGAACATTGTCACTTACTACATTTGCTCAGGGCCTAGGACAGAGCTTCAGTAGCCAGGTATTGCCCCCAAGCTGCCAGGAAGCCAGGAGAGCACTCACCAGAGAGGCGTTCGCGTGCCTGTGCAGATACACGCTGCCCGAATGCACCAGGGAGACCTCCTTGGCAACACGCTTATCCGTGATCACTCCAAAGCGGATGGTTCCAAGGTAGTCTGAAAGGGCAAATTTTTAGTGTTTAATACAGTTACGTACACACTGAARTTCCTTCCTGAAAGCCTTAGAAAAATATGGATCTTATTTTTTAATGGCTATAAGGGATTATATGTACATCTGGAACACCTTCAAAGCAAACCCTGGAACCAAGCTGGGTGAACATACAGAAACGTCACTAAAAGAGCAACAGGCAACAGATGCAATGGAATGAGAGGAGGCAGGGAAAGCCAACACGTTGCTCTTCTTTGCTCAGGTATAAAAAATGTTAACGTGGAGTAGCYAAATCTCTTCACTCACTAAAACCAGAATTCCCTATCTCAGATATATCTTCTTACGTGCTATAGCATCTCAAAAAACAATATAAGACAAATATAAGACAAAGATAATAACATACATAAGAACTGTGCATACTGCATACATTTACAGTATAAAATTATCATAGAATGCTTAAGGTTGGAAGGGACCTCASAGTCATCTAGTCCAACCTCCCTGCACACGCAGGRTCACCTAGAGCACATGGCACAGGGCTGCATCCAAGCGGGTTTTAAAGATGATGATGATGATATGATCTAAATATTTATTATATTTCCATAACATAACAACACCCCACAAGGAAAGCATGTTTTTCATATTTRGATTGTCAGGAGCTATATGCCCAACATATAAATGGACAATTACAGAAAAAATATACAGAAAAATAGGCTTCATATTGCATTCCACAATATTGACAGAGCAAAACTTAAGAGATTTGTATCAATTTACTTTATTTGCCAACAGAAAGAAATAGCTTCAAAATATGCTAATTTTTAATTATTTTTTCTACTGGCATATCCAGGATTTCTGAGAAAGAAAAAAAAATCTGTCAGAATAAAATTACCATTCTGAAGAAATGAGGATGATGAACTTTTTCCATGAGCCTGAGTGTGTTTGTTGCTGTAGAACTCCATTAGCATAGAAACCAGCAACCCTTTTATTGCTCAACATAATAGYTTTTATAAAGAATGTATAGCAGGGCACTCTGACAGCTCCAACTTATCCAAGATCATTTATTTCCACAAATATGACAAAAATCTGTATAAAAATTCATGGAGACATGAGGGACTGCAAGTGAGGGTTCAAACACCTAGCTTCTAAAAGAAAGGCTATCAGTAGTGGCCACGGTGCCTTGGCACAACTTCAGCTTGTGCTCCAAGGCTGTGCAAGATCAATTAGCAACTCATGTAATTAGCTACTTAGACACCAGCTCCCTTTGCAGATTACCATCAGCAGTTCCAAGGTGTTTGCTTGCTTTMGCCACCTACATAGTACTCCCCAAGGCCTGGGTGATTAGCAGTGGCTGGGTGCTGAGAGCGAGGAAGGGGCAGGCGCTGCTACCTGCCAGCAGGCACCTGCATTTCCCAAGGGAACTGCCCACTCCAGGCCCTGGCATTGCAAATGCCAGAGATTTACCAGGTGGAAACACTCTTCAGTGTGGTTAAACATACCAGCACACACATAGGAAATTACTCCATCCATAGTTAATTTCCAGCTGATCTTTTGTAGCTTTAAAACCACTATTGCAGTGGGAAACTGATTTAATACCAATTTTTTTCAAAATAAAAATATTTTGAATTAAAAATGCTGAGTAATCTACTTTAGTTTATTAATCAACCAGATGGATATCTTTCCCATTGATAGCTATTCAAATTTAACTTGATTTTCAAATTTAAAGCCTTTTTCGCTTTGTAAAGACATTCACTGTATAACACTGATATTAAAAAAAGTTACCACATTTCTTACACTCCCCTATGTGGTTTAGGGGATATCACTTACACAAGCAAAGAAAATATATAAAAAGTTCCCTGTGGTTCAGTCACTATTGTTCTATGCCTGTTATTTGTAAAATATAGGGGACAAAAAAAAAGAATAAAATAAGGCAAAATATAATTGAAAGCAGTAAGTTGTTAATATGAAAAATCTGTGTATTTAAACCTAAATTTTAAAAACACTAATAATCTAAAATATAACAACAGGAAAAAATTCCTTTTCATTAAACTATCTTCTACCTGCTCTGTAACTCCATGCAAGAAAGCATTTAAGAATTGCATTGCGGGTTGCTGAATTCAGTTACTAAAGTCCAGGCAGAAAGCCAAGTTCATCCTATTGCCTCTGATTTCACATGTTGCCCCAGACAAGCACACTTAAATTCAACTTAAATAAATGCTAATTTGTTGCTGGCTTTATATGGACTGCAGTTACACTTCCAGGTTCCAGAGGAAAATATTTCTTAATGCAACCTTGAACTGAAGCCTGTCATGAAATCATTCCATAGTGGCTGGTTACACATGAAACTTCTGTGAGCAATCCTCCTATTATTTCTCCATTACTGTAACAAAAGAAAGCTTCGTAATTAGATCGACATTAAGAAACTTGCTCAAAAGGGATTCCCTCCCTGAACTATACTATAAACTATATATAAACTATAAAAACTGCAAAGGAATGAACTTATTTACAGGGATGGTTCATAGATGCCATCAATTCTGAAAAATGATGCTTTTACCTTTCTTTAATGAGTGTAACGCAGATGTGAAGAATGTTAAGTAACCAGGGGGCTGAGGTGAAGCATTGAACTCAAAATATCCCAGAACTCCAGGCTGAAAAATAAGAATTAGATTTGGCTAAGTTATTCTCAAGTACAATGATATGGAACATCGTAACTATTTGCCTATAATAAAACACAACAGGCTAAACATTGTTGCTCTGTTCTCTGTTTAAAAAGGAAGCAATCATTTTGTGCTGCAAGGAAAAATTTCATTTTGATGAGAGAATGGAAATCTGTTCTAACGCTGTAGTTCAAAAAAAACACATCTAATGAGAGAGCTTTTATGGCTGCAGAGGCGTTAGTTGCAAGCTGCCTTTTTCCCACATTAGGTATTACAGTTCTCTAAATAAAATTAGTATTTGTTTTGAAACTATTTTGTATGTCAGCTGCAGTACCATCATATGGACCAGAAGCATCATAAAGGCATTTTTTGAAATTTGGAATATGGTTTGCCAGAATATTAACAAACTTAATAGGAAGATTTTCATTTTTACTGTGCTGCACATAATTAGCAATTGCAGATGAATTCACCCATCTTGTGAGCGAGTACCTGAGCTGCTAAGTTACCTTATCAGCCCATGAACAAGCTAGCAATTATAGCAAATTCTTCCAGTGTCAGCTGCAGAAGTCAATGGGAGACCAATGACACAAAAATAATGGAAGAATCTCCTTTTCCACATTCACATCCATAAAGCATTTCTTCGAGTGGCCAAATAGGCTAAGTTTCACAATTTAAAAATTCACAGTTTCAAAAGACCCTTCACTTGTCTACGCCCTTCACCAGAAACGAAGCCTGAAGAGAAGGYGGGAGAACCTGCCTTGGAAGCCAAGTCTCAACTTTCTTGTTCCAACATCAAAATCCAGTGTTAGCCTTAAATTTTGCAAATTACAATAACCCACTGCMAACTTGTTTATTCTCCCTACTCACACACCAGTTGACTAGACACTCGGGTCAGGTTCAGGGCTGGAATTTGGCTATGTCCTTTGTACCTGTGCTCCCCAGAGAGCAGTGCAGAGAACCGGGGCACTCGCGGCATGAATCTGTTTTGTCTCTATTATGTTTCATTTGACTTTTACTTTAGGAGATCTGCTCCTACATATTCATCAATAACAACACTCCCCATATCATCTAATAATCTGCCCTTTTTGGTAGTAATCATCTTTTATTGAACAATAGTGAATGTAAGACTCTTGTTCATAGTTTCTTTAAAAAGTASTGCTAGAAGAATATCAGTGATAAAAAGAAGATATTAATGAAACTTCTGCAAACATTGTTCAGGAGAAAATAAGAATATAAATAAATAAGAAGTGGAAACACAGCAAAATAACAGCAAGCATTCTTTTTCCTTAAAGAGTAAAAAAGTAAGCAAAACCCTATGGTTCAGTCACAGTATTCAAACCATAGGGCACACGCTAGTGAATGAAAGAAGAGTCAAAGGCAGCAGAGTAAAACATGAGAAGCTACCAAAGGTCAAATTTGTAGTAAAGTTATTTTAYTATTTATTTATTATTTATTACTTTGTTGTAAACTTCTTTTTAAAAAATACCCCGATGTTCTGATTCTGAACACCGTTCTGTCACACACTCTTTGTGGCTTAAGATTCCCAACTACTTCCATGAGACACTTTGGAAAAAATAGGTTTCTTCAATAAAAACGAAGTGTAGTGGGAGAAACTAGTCCTCCTGGCTAACTAGCTTCCTTTAAAGGATCATCCCAGAATAGCGAACATTTCCTCTTTTTTCAGGGTACAATTATACCCAAGAAGAAAAAGCATTTAAAACAGGCATTTCTTTCCCAGTACCACGCATACTTTCCTGTTCTTCAAAGAGATCCACCTGTCAGCATAACTACACTGCTGATTTTAACAAAACTGAATGCTTTAAGGTGTTTGCAACTACCAGGACGCCTCGCTTGGGCAGAGCGACAGAGAGACATCTCCCTGCAAACAAGAGCTTCTTAATTCTCAGTATGTTTATGTTTAGAGCAGCCTAACTTCACATAAGCACTTCCAAAACGGCAACTCAAMACGTCAGTTCACTGCTCTAGGAACAAGTGCCTGCGTGTGGCTCGCACAGACAACGCACAGAAGCTGCGAGTGCTGAGGAGCTGTTTGCAGGGAGCTCTGGTTAAGCAGAGGCATGAAGCACCAAGGAGCCCTCCGATGGCCACGCTGTGACTTGTGCCTCTGTCCTCAGCTCGCAGCACCTGGGRGAAGACAACAMGGTGGTTTCCTGTTGGGTGCTGCTGCCCAAGCTGGTCACTGGAACCTGAGCACCTGCAAAGCTTGCACGGGACGTGGAAAGCGACAGGGTGGCCCTGAAGCCCCGGCCACAARTAGGAATAAACCGACAAGCAACAAAACGCCCTGGCAAGAAGAGAAGTGCTCACCAGGGCTGAGATGCTGCTGCTGACATATCTCTGGTAAGATATTCTGAGCTTCAAATTAATGCTTTTCCATGAAGAAATCACCAAATAAACAAAAAAAAGTTCAACTAGCAAACAATGGTCAAAATGCCTAATGATCAACCAACTTGCAGCTTTCCCTGCTTTCCTTCCTGTCAATAATTAACATTTCAGTATACAAAAGATGAAAAAGCAAGACACTATAGAGGAAAAAAAGCTGTAGAAATAGCAATTAGTGTGCATCATGCATGTGTTTTTTGTAACCTGTGCCAAAACATACTAAGATTTTTCAAGCTTTTTCATTTCTTAAGTACAGCAATTACCTCCTGAATTACCTTTTTCCTACAGATTGTATAAGGTTCTTCACTTACATAAACAACAGTAAAAATGTTCACATTTCTAACTCTATCAAATGATGAAACAACAAGCTTATTTCTGTATGAAAACTCATTGTGCCTTTATGCCTGTGTTTCCCTCTATCTCTGTACACAGGTCTATGACTTCTTAGGCCTTGTGGCTGCTGATCAGAGTGTTGGCCGCCCAYTCTGCACTCACCTGGACTGGCCCTATCCGACGTCCTTCTCCATTAGTGTGTGGCTCGTCCTGCTCGATCTGAGTGCGTGAGGTGGCTGTTATTTTTGCACRGCCTCCTCTGTCTCCACTTTAGTTTATAAAGGCAAGACCCTGAGCACCTAATGCCATGGACTGTGGAATAACATCAACCTTAAATTGGGGAGCAGGGAGGGACAACAGATCAGACTCAATTCTTAGTCTAGTTCACAGAAAGAACCAACAAATGCTGAATATAAAATACAGACTGGGGATTCTCAAAGCCATGGAGTTTTGAGGTAGAGAAAAAGGAAATACACACAGATGTTCAACTGTTAAGTATTTCAAAATGAAAATTTGATTTGCTGGGTTCCCCCATGAATCTGTCTTTTACCTTAGTCTTTTTTCCCCAATGGAAGTGTATATACTATTCTAAAGTAAGTGCTTATTCCCTACGTACTGGAGACAAACAAGAGCTAATCCACAAAACAAACCGGAAACCAAACATGTCTATTTTCAAGTTTTTAAAAGAGGTAAAATAAAACCAAGTTTCAGAATGACTAAACTGAAGCTGAGGAAAGACTATAGTACTCCTCATGATCACAGAAGGGATTCAGTATCAGAGACAAGAGCAGAACTTGCCGCTCCTGGCTCAAAATCCCTGCTTAAAAACTGCAGAACTAAACCCACAACAAGCTGCTAAGGGGTAAACTGGACTGTGAAGAGCAGCTAATGATGGTGAGTGCCTGTGTGGATGCCCTTATGCTGCTTTCCATGGAAAACACGAGTTGCACTCTGCCTGCAGCAGGATCCATCTCAGGAACGCGACAGCACCTCCATGAAACGGGGCCACATTTCATTCACAAATGCTGGAAAATCCCCAGCCCAGTGTTTGTGTTTCCTGTTCTGCTGTAATAGCTTGGGGTTTAGGAATGTAATAGTGTTTCTCCATTGTGCACTAAAGAAACGTACAGTTATAAATGGGATTTAAATGGTTCTGCCACAAATTCATTTCATCTACTTAGAAGTTATCCATCCAGGGTCTTGGCCTCTCTGCAYACAACAGATTGAAAATTAATAAAACACAATGCACCAGTGGAGAAAAACCACAAAATCACACCACACATGGAAGCTACTATTTCAACTGATTTCACATTTGTTTTTATGTAAGACCCTTTCCCTTAATGGAAAGATTTAATATTCCTTTAAAAATTAAAGCAACTTTTATGTGCTATTATATATTTYTGAACTGCCTTTCCAAGCCAGCTTTGGGTGAAAAGGGCTCTCCCATCTCCCTTGTTWATATGCAACACCCTGGGAAGGTTTAGTGATTTTGATTGCTGGCTCTATGTGCTAATGTACTGCGAATCAGTAATACTAATACATCACGATAGTTACTACAAAGGTACCAGCACTGTAAATCTGTCACTTCATTTTTTTATAATTTTAACAAAATATGCAGGGCACTGATTTCAAGATTCTGGCAAGAAACTACTACTTCGGAGCAGCTCAAATTTAACTGTGAAACAAGTCAAACTCTTTCTGAACCACAGTGGTAAAGCTAGAGAAGAGAGACAAGTACCTCATAATTTGAGAGGAAATCTAGTAATTTTGATCGAGACGAGATGTAGAGTAGTGGTGTCATCACCCGGCGAACAAACTTTTCAATATAAACAGCACTCATAGGGCCTTTGTATTCAATTGGTCCAAAACTAGTACCAAAAAAAATAATAAAGCATTAAGACTTACGTTAACGAGAGAGAGAGACAGTCCCTCCTGGGGGTGACAGAAGCAGGAGCCCGGGGACCGAGTGCTCTCCATGTTCCTTGGCAGGAGCTGTGGCTCTAACACAGGGCAGTGCCATGGGCTGGCAGGGTCCAGGGATGGGGACCACCTCTGAGCCCCATTAAAGAAGCTTGCAGAGGGTGAGTATGAATTATATAAGCATATGCATATCCTTATGCTATGGCTATACCCCTGAGTACACACATCCTGACCAGCAGCTCACAGGACCCAAGTGGTGCTAAAGCAGGAGGGGCCTCGGGGCTCTCACGTCCTTCGCTACCCTGCAGTCCCGTATGGGATTCGCTGCTTTCAGGCACCGGGCTGGTCAGAGCATCACACTCCGGAGAAAAATTAAACACCAAAAGTAGGAAGAATTAGTCTAGTCCCACTGAAGAATTTAATCGGGAATGGGAAGTGGTTTTGGAAATAAAGTTTACACATAGACACTTTTAATTACATCACTTCCCACACTACTTTATGACAAGTCTCTGCTTCAGAGCAGCAAGCACTGCCTCACCGGGCAGCATGCACAGCCACACCAGCTCACAACAGTGGGGTGCAGGGGGGCTACAAAGCATCACTGGGAATTCCTATCTCCTTTTGCTGTGACTGTTTAAGAATATTCCAACTGGTTACTGCTAGCACCCAAATGTTTCAACCTAGGCTGTGTTATCTCAGTATAAAACAACTTAAATGCAATGAGCATTCTGCACAGATTTAGCTTTTTCTTTTTTTCCTTCAGCCAGATTATCGTTTAAATTATGCCAATGCAACCTCTGTCAATTCAAAGTTCAGCTAACAAAAAAGATCAGGTTTGTTCTTCCTCAATATATAAATACCCTAACCCTTTGCTGACAGTAGGAGGAACCTGCAGGGCTATGGAACACAAGTCAGAGTCCACACAGCAACGAGCTCTTCTGTATGGAGCATTAAAAACATTCCCTCCTACTTTCTACTGCACACTAAAGGAAAGGCATAATACACACAAATACTAAAAAAAAAAAAAAAGAACCAAAAAAGTGGCATTATATAAAACATATCATGACATCTCAACATTTGGACCATAAAAAAGAGAAGTCCATATTTAGAATAAAGTCCCAAATTCCACTAACTCCAAAAGCCCATAAGCACCTACTTTAYTGCTGTCTTAAACTTGGACCAGTTGATACAGTCCACCTACACCAAGCAGAAAACTAAAATAAAAATGTAAATCTGAATTCTTTACATTTTATTTGATGCAGGAGCTTCGTAAGCAACAGTTTTTCTCAGGAAGAAGAATTGAGCAGCACGTCATTTAACTGACAGTTACAGCCTTTCCTGATGCAGGATGAGCCTACAGGATGAGCTTCAGCCAGAATCTCCTCCACAGCTATTCATTATAGCTGTAAATGCAATGCTTTCAATATGCAACATTTTAGATGGTACCTCTGTTTAGCAAACTAGCAATATAAAACCCAGAGCATAATTATAAAACTCTTACCTCTGATGGTATAGGTGTATCACAGGAAAATAAAAGAAATGCTTCTGCTTCCTACATTTCCCCTGGTTCCACCAGCAATTAACAGCCACAAATAGCACCTGCAGAACAGATAAAAAGTTCTCACCTGACAAAGTGCATTACCACCACTTTATCTTCCCAATCCACAACGCACTATTCCACACTTGTTCCCTTTGCTTGTTTCATTCAAGTCTCTTTTTCCACCTCCCCTTTTTTGCAAGAGAAATGGAAAGAAAAGTCACAAAGGCATTCAACATTTGCCTTCTAATCTAAATCCTTCAAATTTACTAACCAGGTCATAACACATACTGATGACTCACTCTGCAGAGCAGAGCCCAAAGAGGAGAGTCTCAGAATGGTTCAATTTGTGACGTTTTCGGGAGTAAGTAACTGTTAGGTACCAGCAGAAAAGCTGCAAGGTCTCTGCAGATTATAAAGCTAGGAGGTCTTATTTTTAAAATCAGTCTCTGGAATTACCTGGTCTGACAATCTGGTGGCCACACGCTCTATTTCTTCTCGTGCTGCAATGGACTGGCCGCACCACGGTGCATAGAAAAAATACAGCACAATTTCTGAATCCTGACGCAGGTGATCTGCATAATCTAGCTGTCCCCGGAAAAGATCAACAACTGGAGATCTTGTGGAGAAGAAATTCACTGGAAGCTTCGCTGGCATCGTCACATCTTTTGCTCGGCTGCAGGAAGGAAATTGAGACTTCTTGAGACTCTGTAACTAATTTAAAAAAAGTGTCCAAAGACCTAATTTATTAATCCTTACAAAGGTCATGCAATGATAAAACTTTAAACTTCAATGCAAATGACTACAATTTACATTATCTGTATTAGTCACAGGAAACACCACAGAAATCTTCAGATCATCTTGCGTGTCATACCATGCATTATGTTTAGGGGCGTGTTAGCTCACACTCTTATTGCTGGTTGCTATAGAGCACAATATTACCAGGAAGAGTGATTTCTTTGGGTTTCTTCCCTGGCCTCATCCTCTTTTAACACTTGGACTTTAGGTAACAGCATCCTAGTAAGAGAAAATATGCTAGTCACAAAGGCTAGTGATATGTTTACATAACATAGAGACCGTTACTATGGCTTATGCCTTTCTTTAAAATATTCTRTATTTCTATTCTATTTAAAAATCCTGTTTTACTAATAACTTTTAGCAGTATGGAGATTTGCATTAGCTTGCAGTGACCAGAGCAGAGACTCTGAACTTTGTTCAGGCAGGTTTCTTCTTCAGCATAAAGGCAGTATCAACAAAGAAAGAATCTYGATTTCAAGACACTATAATGTGACTTTATGGCAGGTTCCCTTTCTTAAGAAAAATGGGTTTGTGCTKTAACGCCAAAAATTGACTCAGGAAACTGCTTTCTATTAAACCAGTAAGCAGCAATCATACAATCCAGACACGCATCATTCCCAGCATGTTCTGAAGTGTTTACAGTACAGCCTGCCTCAAACGCAAGTGAATGACCATACTGTCTCTCTTTTATAGTCTCTTAAATCCACAATATTCCTTTGGCTATATCTACTGTAGTAAATTAGATTAAAAACTGGACGGTATGACTTAGTTCTCCCATGGTGTCTCACATGACAGAAAGTTTTGGGGAAGGGTATGCACCACTTTACCTTACACAATAGCAAAAATCTAACAAAGAAAACCTCTCTGTGATCTTTGCTCTTTTTTAGTTTTTAATAAGTGGGATAAAAGTACCACGCTATAAACACTGTCAAACATTAAGCAACACTCTAATAATGGTGCTATATTCTGGTTTAGAAATACCTGTGCTTTTGTGAAACAAACCCCAAAAAGCCACAGTCTTTACTCATTTCCAGGTCAACAAGCATATGCTTACAGCTAAATATTTAAGAACTAACCTCAGTATATTTTCCAAATTCTTAATTCATATGCAGGAAAAAAATGTAACTTCAAAAACCAGATTCTGCTTGTACACATATGGTCAAAAATCTATTTTCTCTGACGCATTTTGTTCCTTCCTGCTCATCCCCAATCAGCCAGACACCCTCTTTCCCAACTGCGCCAATCCCACTGCCTTTTTCAGCCTTACAACCACTACCTCCGGTTATGCTCTCCCACATCTAGTCTCCTGCTCTTACACAAAGCGCCAGCTTCTTCTTCCCATGTTTTCTAGCTTCTTCCCATGTTTTCCAGMTTCTAGGACACAGACACGGATGTGTCATGGGTGGCTGAAGCTACACAAACACCAGCTCACCTGTGCTGCCCAGCCACCGAAAGCCAAACACAGTGGGTGGAGGCTGAGCTTACACCGAAACCAACTTCCTAAAAGACATTTCTATAATCTCTCCTATTTGCCTGCCTTAATGCAAACTGAGAGCCCGAACATGTTCAGAACATGTGCTTCCTCTACCAAAGTAAACTGAAAGTGGACAGTAAGTTCAGAAGTTGTGCTGAGTGGGCAAATCAAGCATTAAGCCTTAAATAAAAAAGACATGAAAACAAGACCCAAAATTTGCTCTAAATTACAAGAAAACGTACTGTCAGAAGAGGTATCATGATATAGGCGGGTAAAACATATGTGGCTATTCTCAACTATGAAAAAAACGCCTAGTAATTATAAAAAACACCATTGAATAAACCCATAGCTATCACTTCTCACACTGATTTTCCCAGTACTGCCTCCCTCTGCAGTACCAGGAGTATTTTTACATAACACCCAGTTTTATGCAGAGAATAGTTTCCTTGTCGTATGAAGTGTGTCACGTTAAATACCAACGTGGCTACTCACAGATCACTCCTGGAGAGCTGCTCACACAGTSCTTATTAAAAAATGGTTTTATTCATGTGCTGGGCACAAGTTACAAAACTGAAACTCCTTTCAAGAGGACGAGCTCAGACTGAAGTATAACAAGTGCCAGTAGGGTCAGCCCATTCGCCTGGCATGTCCTCGGCGTGTGGCTTCCTCAGAGACATCTGCATAGAGTCAGAACTGATTTGGGGTCTAACCTGTAGGAATTTTACAGCTGCACAGGTCAGATCCGTCTCCCTTTGGATATTTCTTACTGTACAGCAGTTCCCACTAAAGCGATGCTGGGATTATTCCTTTTAATACTTCCTAGCTGCTAGCCTTAAGGGTTGGTATGTTTTGATCCTGAGCTTAGTGGCAGTTACTGCTCCCCAGAGCTGGAATTTTGCTCTCACATCGTACTGCTGACACGCGAAGGGAAAGCATGTCCGAAAGCCACAGCTAATGTGCAAAACCAGCAATCCTCTGAAGAGCACAAGGATCCAAACGCTTTTATTCCCTCTTCCCGACAACAGCAGGGAACATTTTTCCGGATGCGGGCTTGTGTATTTAACTGAAACCAGCAGGCCTTTAGCCAAGTTCCTGCCGGCGCGAGGGGCAGGGGCCGCGGCCCCCGTGGGTGACCCGGGGGCTCCCGGCCGCGGGGCGCAAGGAGGCCCCGCCGCGGCCTGAGCACGGGGCACGAAGCACGCGTGGGACCCGGTGAGACGCGCGGCCGCGTTACCTGCAGGTGACTTTGAGGGCGACGAGGAAGGCGCAGCCCAGCACGATGGCGGCGCCGCAGAGCAGCTCGGGCCGCCGCGCCATGTGGGCCGCACGGAGGCGCGGCCGGGCGGCGGGGGCCCCGCATGGCGGC